TCCAAGTCACAAATGAAGAATAGCGGTAATTTAGGTATTTCCTGGCTTCATGTATTTACGGAAGTAATTAAAGTCGAACACGTTGTATTATCATCAGAACATGCAATGACATGACGAGTAATTCCAAAAAAGACACTTTTCACAGTTTCAGCAAAAATTTTGACTCTTGTGTGCAAACATTATTGACAAGATCATACTCTTCAAAGATGTTTTAAGTAGCATGATAATCATTCATTTAGACTCCGAGTTTTGAATGAAACGACATACTTACGCTCTCAAAATCGTTCTAATTCATTCCGCACGCAGGGGACGACGGTGTGCAAAAGCGCAATGGTTTCAAGATCAAAAATCAAGTTTGACGATAAAAGATTGTAATAAATATTGGAATTATATACTACACGAGAATTGACGCTGAATTCTGATATCTGGTCGTGGTTTTCCATATTTCGTGGTGTTCTCACACTTTACATGAAACCTTCACGCCCGATACAAATGGCTGAAACATTTACAAGTCTATGTATTTCGTGTTCTCATCACATCTAATAAACTTGAACAAGCTTTCTATCTATTCAAGGCTTTTTTTACGTTCTGTAGTAATCTGTAGTGACAAGGGGAGAAAGTGGAAAATAGATTGTTTTTTCATTGCGTCTGAAGCAGGCTGATACTCTAGTTTTCCTTCCAAGAGTGAACATGTACTATTTTACTCTAAAATAAACTGTTGTTTTGCTGTCGAGTTCAAAATTTTGGATTAACCGCGTGGGAGTAACTACAAAATTTTGGTATTTATTCCCATCCAGTAAATTCAAAATTTAGAACATGACATCACTCTTATCAAACCGTTTCACAAGCTTATGAGAATCAATTTTTTCAGGTTTTCTTAATTTTCTTAATTATTCACTTATGCTTAAAGATCTTTATTCTATTGTATTCTATGTAGATGAGTTGAGTATAGTTCTTCAAAGACAGAAGACAAATTTCACTTATATACCTCTATATAGATCCAGTCCCTATGGACTCTGACGTTCATTAATTATACCAATTCTTGATTATATCACATATTACCGGTACATGCGGATTGTAGGATTGCATACACATGCACTCTTTTTCTATAAAATACTTTCAAGTACAAATGGGTTTATTGCAACGATAGCAACTATTTTCATACTTTCACTTGGAAGAATAAACTTGGTCATTGATTACCATCTTCCTTGGAAGACTGTACACAGAGTTAAAGTATTTTACAGTCTCCGGACTGTTCACTTCCTCTCTTCTGTGATTGGTAGAAAATGCATGATGTGAAAACTTTCAACTATTTCATTGGTTGAAATGTTGTCCTAGGCAAGGTAGATAGTTTTCGGGTGATCTGATTTTCGTATGACTAACAATTTTTCAAGATTTTCAATCTTTAAAAAAAAATCGACAAAACGAACAAAAAAAAAATTGCAGTAAGTGAAACTGACACTTTCACCTTTTAGTGGCTTTTACAATAACTATTATTAAGTTTTCATGTTTTCATTATTATTAAGTTTTCATTATATTTTCATGGTTAAAAGAATGTTCCTATTTGCATACAAACATTGAAATTTAAGTTTATTGTTTTTTTCCATCGTTTATATGGTAGGGCTAATGTCTCAGTGTAAAAAAGCTGTTCAAGATGTACAGAGCCCAGAACTGCATTACTCAAGAATACATAGGTGTATGTCAGTTTACTGTTTAAGGTTATTGCTAAAGACCAAGCTTTTTTAAAAAGCTATATTTGTTTTGTTAAATGATTCTTAATACTAGTAGTTAGTGAGTTCCCAATGAGCAACAAAATTGTTTGATTTTCAACCTCCGTACACACAAGAGCTTCACTAGAAGGAACAATCTCCCCAATCGCATCTTCTCGGGTCTTTCCGGCAAGTTCGGAAGCTTTGTGAGAAAGTTGCGATTGCAATCTCCCTTGTATCTGCTCGTCGAGTGGAAAAGTCGAATTCAACCATGAAATGGTATGTGCTAATCCCGCACAGAGATTTTGATTGGCTAAAAATCTGTTTATAAAATTACATCGGATAAACATCGTAATGTTTTCAGGGAAAATCAGACGTAAACAAGTTCTATTTACTCATGCAATATTTAAACACTGGAATTGAATTTTTAAACCCACTCATTTTTTAATTTTGTTCTCTGTGCGGGATTAGCACATACCATTTCATGGTTGAATTCGACTTTTCCACTCGACGAGCAGAGTTTTGACGCTGTTTACGGAGACTAAAGAAAATAAAGACAAGCATGCCATATATGGTTGTGTAGATAAATTATCGTAGAAAACATAGGTATAAAAAGTTTGTCAGTGTATTTCCTCTGAAAGTGTAATTAAATGCGATTCTGGGGGAAGGGGGTACTCCGTGTCATTCGGAGTTAGATACCTTGTGTTATTATTATACTATGGATTAAAAATTTATTACCGAAACAAGTGCCTGTGATGTCTACACCTCTATACTATAAAATCAACAAGGCCTGCAACGTAATTAGATGGGGAGCGCCTATATGCTCTGCAATATGGACTCACGTCAAGATGAATAAAATATTATTCCAGAGAGCCATTCCAGTTTAAGTTATAATTCAAGATGTACTGAGTAAAAATCTACCTACTAACCACTAAAACTAAAGACAATATCAAACTTTAATAAATTGAAACAAGCGCACTATACTGTCTTTTATTAATTTTCAATCTAAAGTTGAAAATGACTACATGACAAATTGTAATTTGTCATGTAGTCATTTTCAACTTTAGATTGAAAATTAATAAAAGACATTTGTCACATTGAAAAACTGTAAGTTTTTCTCCATGACAAATGTCTTTTATTTAAATTTTCAATCTAAAGTTGAAAACGACTACATGACAATAAATTGTGCTAATCGTAGTATTAACCACGCCAATGTTTGAATCGATGGTATTTAGAGAGTGAGAAGGAAGCGTACTGAAGACTTTGAAAATATTTAAATAGACGACTTTATAGCTCATTTTCATCCATAAAAAAAGAAAGACAGAAATCGCATAAATTCTGGTCCCGGATGTACAACAGGATGCAGAAAGTTCCCGGATGGTAACAGATTGGGATTACAGGGAGTTCAAGGACGAATTCATGAACAGAGTAACATATTTATCCCCACAAGCAAAAGAGCATAGGTCACCATACGGATTTATATGACAAGAAAGCAGTCGGTAAGCCTTTGATCATCTGTTAACTCTTTATTGGTTACAGATGTGTTTTGTGGTCAAACGTCTATGTACAAATTTCACTCTTATAGCCTTTATACAGTTTGGTAGCTGACATAAATCGTACAGGAAAGGAGATAACCCTTTTGAATGAAAACAATGTTTTATATCATCTAAAATTCTGTTGGTTATATTTTTTTCCAAGTATTAACGTGATTAATAAACAGATATTCAAAACTCGAAGACAAAATATGAGACTTAATTCATGTTACATTTCATGGGCTTATAAACAGAATTAATGGTATGTGCAAATACATATTTTCTCCTAAATTTATAGGACAAGATTTCGTTTATACAACTGTTTTGTATAACAGCTAATCCCTATGTGTAAATATTTACACATGGCTATATACATCGTTCGATGATTGATTTATCAGTTTCGAATAACAAGCAATAAAAATCGGATAAAGCACTTCAATCTCTTCTCAAAATATCAACAAATTTTCCGTCTTCTTCACTTATCAAATCAAGAATAATGTTATCTTCCCCACAAAAACAGCCCAGAATTTGTAGACTTTAAAATCTAAGAATACACAGTTTGTAGTGTTTTTGCACTATTTGTCAGATTAGATTGGAACGAGTGTTCTCTACTCCTACTACTCGTAAAGTCTTACACAGAAAACAACAGAAGAAAACAAACAAGTGAGGTTTCTTTGATCTCCACAGTTTTCGACTGCTAATCTGCGTTGCCTCTGATTGCTAAGATAGCACTCGTGTTGGTTCCAAGAAGGTGGTCGTAGAATGAGTAAGCCAAAAAAAAAAGGATTTCCGGAAAAGTAATACTAAAATAAGTGTCGGACGAATTCCTAATCAAAAATAGATATAAAAATATAAAATCTATTTTTATTTTATTCCACGCTTTGATTTAAGACAGTCGTGTAATTTTCAGAGATATTGGGATGAAATACTCTCGAGGAAAAAATGGTTATCTACACAGCATCAAGTGTTTTTAGTAGTAAATTGTCGAACAGACATTGGAGAATGTTCTTAAGATTTTTATGAATGATGCCAAGCCAAATGGTAAATAAGTTTGACCATACGGGCCAGAATGGCATTCACTTTGAATGCATGCGTAACTACAACAATTGAAAATACATTAAACTGGCGTCAGAACTCTTTGGTTTGTTAATTTTTCTCTCATACAATTCTCAAAAGGATTAAAAGGATAAGTCGTCTGATATTTACAAACTTTAGGCTGAATCACCCCCAGAAACTTTACCAGCATAAATGAAACTTAAAAAAAACATGGTTAACAAATATTCAATAGCCTTGTACTTGGTATATATGAATTAGCGCATATCGAAGAAATCTGGTAAACAGTGTAAATATACTGGATATTATGCAACTGCAGAACTCTCAATGGTAAAAGATGGCTGTTCAGAAACGGCATCTGTTAAAGCTTACAGAAAATAAGTAGTGAAAATAGTTTAAGTCTTGTTGAAAAGCGTTCTCAGGTGTGTCGTAAAACAATTTATGAATTTATGATAACCAAAAAAAGAACCTTTTCGGATGTTCTGAACGGAAAGCACTGAATTCTAAAACACATCTTTCATAATAAAATAGTACATTTGAACTATAAAACTTAATTTTTAAGAATGACAAAAATGTGCACTTTTATTTTCTTAATCTCCATTGATTAAGTTAGATCGGATTAACCTCCCACCAGAATGAACTTTTACCACTATGAGATCTTACAATGATCTTAGCCAAAATCTTCAAAATATTCATTTATACTCACCTAGTTTCATGCATACGTCCTTGGGGTAGGGTGCTTGGAACACTTTAAGGTGGGGGTTAAAACAAATCACAGGTGATAAGGGTTGGAATGGCGAGGAAAACATGACTGGCTTCAGAGGTGGCGTCAAATGGCGGCAGCCAGCAGTCGTGGTCCATTACATACGGGTGTAATAACCTGTACAAAATATGAGTTAATTACAAATAATATTAATAATGCATACAACTTAATGACCCAGATAAACATTCTTTATTATGATAATACGTTTATTTGTAATTGTTGGACGTTAAATTGCACACCAGCCATGTTTGTCCGATAGCAATCCCAAGATCAAAACTGGTTCATAATAGATATGCAGGATTATATGTATATAATGTAATATTTCTCTTGCATCAAACAAGTCTTCAAAGTTTGTATATAAATATAAGGATTGTGAAATTCATCAAATTTTTAAATCTTCATAGAGCAAATTGCATTAGACCTAAAGGATTTCACTGTTTGTGACGTGCTGACGCTTTGCTTGTCGAGAAGTTTAAATACTACGTCACATTGTTATCACATCAAAGGAAGTAACCGAGATCGCTTCTCTCCCACGCTAAAGTCGGTCAACTGCAATACACATCGCCGACGTATAACGGGTTTATAAATGGGGACAGACGGTCCATCCGTCCTTTTATCGAATATTTCCTTCACAAATCTTAAACAATTGAAAACAGAGCAGTATGCTTTTTTAGAGTCCATAATAATTGAAGTGATGCCATTGTATATATGCCACATAAAATGTTGTGCCTGATGAAGCTGAATGTTTCCGTATCAGTCTTGGTCATGGATTGTAGTAGTTTGTTTCAAATCACTGTTGAAAATAATGATTTTTCTTTGAAAAAAAATAAATTCCGTGTGTGCATTAAACCATGAACTGAAGGACTTTAGAACTGAGTACATAGATCTACATGTATACAACAAACAACCTTATCATGCGCGAATCTAGAGGGGGCGGAGGTGGTCCGGAACCCCCCCCCCCCCCCCCCGGACTTTGCAGAGTTCATAGTACTAAATAATTATGAAGGCAAAACTATGGAAAAAGTATCCAAATTCACAGAAAACTCCAAACTGTATTTGTACAGTAAAATAAAACACAATCTTAATATGGAAGAATATCTTATGCTTGAAAATAGTTTCAGAATAGACAATTACTAATTAAGTTTCGAACAAGTGACCACTGCCTACTGATTGAAACTGGTAGACATAAGAAAATACCTCGACAACAAAGATTATGCACTTCATGTAATGCTATTGATGATGAATTTCATTTCTTTTTACAATGTAATTTGAATATACAAGCAAGGAATATACTTTTTAAAACCATGTTAGATAATTGTTCCTCATTCTATCTCAAATCACCCATACAGAAACTTGAATATATACTTAGCCCAACTATTTAAGTTATACCGGCTGTTTTCACTTTTATAAAACAATCATTAGAATTAAGAAATAAAAGGTCCACATCGGTGTAACATATAAGGAGTAAATTACTTAAATGCGCCTATTGTATATATACACTCATTGTTCTTTGTTTGTTTTTTCTTATTATGAACTGTATTGCTTGACCCATATGGGTGTATTATGCAATAAAGAATTAAATTTATATATAAACCAAATAAAAAGCGGATCTGTGTTAAGTTGGTATGAAAAGATACAAACACTAGAAGTCAACGACTACCTCCCCCCCCCCCCCCCCCCCACACACACACACACACAAAATAGATTTTTCAAGTTTGGGCGAGTTTACGTTACGAATACTTCTGCCGAGAAGGTAATTCGTACTCATAATTGTCAATAATTATGTCAAAATGCGAAATTATTTGTACATATCTTTGCTAAGAAAAGAAAAACGCATGTGTAATAGCTTTTTTTCTTCTCTCTCCTTCCCTCTCTAAGAAAACCTTTCAGTGGCTGCATACAGTCATGTATTTTACTCTATTGTATCATTATTGTGTGACAAATAAATATATGATCTAGTATTTTCATTTATTTTGATATTATGACGAGATGCTTTAGCCTTCGGTCTACATGTCATATACACGAATCAAAAATGAAATCTCTGGGAAAATCGTTTTTTTTTGGGGGGGGGGGGGGGGGGTTGGCACTCTTATTTCTTTTATTATATAAATTATAAATCAGTTAATCAGTAGGCAAAGTTTAAGCCCATTCTCATTGCTCATACACGACAGACTGCCGCAGGTTTTTTTGCATGAGAAGGGTTTCTTTAACAATACTGTGCATTACGTAAAAAGAGACACATTTTCGCAATCCTTTATAAAACTGAGAAAGCAGGAAGTACATGTATACTCATAACAAGGAACACAATACGTACTGAGTACTGCGTACGCAGAGATTTTGCAAAGATCCTCCATTGTGTGTTTGTTGGGGGGGGGGGGGGGTAGAAAGGAAACAGGTGCGATTTCAGCAACTGTGGGACAACTTTATCACATATTAATAGTGTTTAATAATTATGCGATGCAATTTGTTTTCTTAGATCTCATGCGTGTTTTCTTACTTTATATGCTTGAATTAATTAATACAACGTTTAGAGAATATGACATCTTAAATATTTATCACCAATTCGTACTGGAAATGGAGTATTTATCTTGTTTTAACTCAAGCAAATTATAAAAACGAATTGATATTATTCCACATCTTTGATGTGTTACATACGGCATAGACTCGAGTAATTGGCGACAAAAAGTGGGGGGAGCTCTCACTTCAATCCCATTCGTTTTTATCCCTTCAAGTATGTTAACGGGCACATAATATAAGAAACCCCTCCGGGCCACTTTTTTTTATGGAACTCTAAATGGCAGTTTTCTTTAGCCCCCCCCCCCCTTTCACAATTTTTTTTTTCACTGTTATTTTTTTATGTATTGAAATTTTCATTCGGAGACCTGTTTCACAAAAGCCCCCTCCCCAACTTTTCTTTACAGTCCAATCTAAGCTCTTCAATGTTATTGTGCCTAAAAAGTGACGAATATGAGAAAAGAAACCCATTCTCCGCCAAATATATACACATGTACATCTTGAGGGAGAGGGCGTAATATTTTTAGAACTTGTGCCCAATCCCTTTGTAATTAGAAATTACAATAAATATGTTCAAACCAAACCATGGGGCTGGCAAGAGTCAAATTATTTATTTTCATATCATCATACATGTACCAGTCAAGGACAGATTATTTATTTTCTTCTTTTCTTCTACTCTGAAATAAGGTTGACAAGCAAAAGAAAAAAGGGAAACTCTATTTCGGGGTGGGGGTGGGGTTGGGGGTTGGGGGGTAGAAGTACAGTCAAGGACAGATTTATTTTCTTGCCGGTCGCGGACAGATTATTTATTTTCAATATTTTCGAGGACAGCTTATCTTTTTCCAAAATCCGCCAGGCCGCTTTCTCAGAATCAAGAGGTGTATTTAAATATAGGCTTTACATTCTGTCCTTCGGTATTATTTATACTGTGAATACAAAATGTATGTATTGAGCTCCAATCGATAAAATTTGAACGTAAATGTACACGCCTTCCCTCTTTACTATCTCTTTCGAATACATGCGTACAGAGTGGACTCCATTTTTCAGCAGTAATTTGTAATAAATTGCTACAATCTAAGAATGCATGACCTGGATTGATACTGATAAATCCAGTTAATCATGCACTACTTTTTATACGCAAATATGAAAAAGGTAAAATATGTTATGGAATAAAATAATCATCTCAACTTCAATTTATCAAAATGCATACTGCTCTATTTTCAATTGTTTAAGATTTGTGCAAGAAATATTCGATAAAAGGACGATTGGACCGTCTGTCCCCTTTTATAAACCCGTTATACGTCGGTGATGTGTATTGCAGTTGACCGACTTTAGCGTGGGAGAGAAGCGACCTCGGTTACTTCCTTTGATGTGGTAACAATGTGACGTAGTATTTAAACTTCTCGACAAGCAAAGCGTCAGCACGTCACAAACAGTGAAATCCTTTAGGTCTAATGCAATTTGCTCTATCATGTATTCATTTCTTCTCTTATATGTGCAAATTCTTAAGCGCCCTTTTGCTAAGCTACGCCCTAATGACCACAAAGATCTACACATATATATTCTACATAACAAACGAATAAATTTTTGAACTAGTTAAATTGATGTACAAATATCTGTTTGTTGTAGATGTTTGACCTTATTCAGATGAATTCTGACTTTTGGTGATAAACAGGTTTTAAAAAATCGAGACGTTAATCTTTCTCTAAAGGAAATAACACACTTAAGCAGTTTTGAAGTTTCAATATGACAAATCTAGATTTGGGAAAATTGTCGTGAAGTACGCCAAGAAAAAAAGGACAAATATTGAAAATCCATTAATATATCTTGAGTCTATAAAGGCTATCAAAGAAACAAGTCAAAGCAATTGGCACTATTGACACGGACCGTAATCTCAACGAAACATGATGGTGTCGTTTTTATTTTAATTTAATTGATAATTTTCTTTAAAAAAAAAATGAAAAAAACATCGTTCATAAATTTCTAAAACCGCTACGGAAAATTAATCAACGATTGTTTATCAGACGTCCGATTCATTTCACAAATTGTTAAATAAAAACGCCATTAGCTGTTATCACAAACTTTGAAGCTAATTTCGGACATGTCAAGAACAATCTTCTGAATCTTATTTATAAAACAAGAAACCATCACAGAAGAAAATTGACCGACTACGAAGTGATCCGTTCGTCTGCAGTGGTCGCGACTGACTTTGAAGTAAACTGTAATTATAATCTCCTAAAAAAATCCAATCAATATGTAAAACTAGGAAAAGGGCAGCAAGTGGACGTATCTTGTTTCCCGAGCTCATCACATCCATTTTGTTTTATTTACAAGATTATGGCTTTTTCTTGTTTACTGTCAGACAACAAATAGCTTCTATACGTATTATAAGTCGAACGGCTGACTGGTCGAACTCTGGTTTGAATCCCTGCAAGCTCGATAGGCATTCCTGGCAGAACGGACATTTTGGTTATCAGATTACATTTTTAACCATTAAGTGACATCGTATACATGCAAGATTAACGGCCACTATAATCGCGATTTAGGGGCGATTTAGGGACGATTTAGGATGAATCTTACAACTAGATGCAATTCTAAAAGTAAAATTCGTATTTATAGTGTTATATATACAAATATTCAAATATGTGTATTCAAAATTGAATTTCGTTCATTACTTCTTCATGCATATAGGGAAAACCACATGTATATATATTACGGAATATCACAATGTTTCTATAAACTTATTTTGTAGACAATGCTTAACGTTGTGTAGCCGAAAAAATAATCTCTCTGAATGTTGGACGTATTATTTCATGTAAAGATTATGATGAGTGACATGAGTTACCAATGAGAGGATAAGACAGTAGTTATAAGCATGTTCAACCTTTGTGATGATTATATTGACCATTATTATGCTTCCTGTCAGTTTGTCTCTATATAATCAATACCCAACTATTTTCGCATAGTGTTCTAAGGATTTATATAGCGTAAGCATACTATGTCGAAATAGTGCACGGCTGTCTTTTCTAGAGAAAATGTTATTTGCACCCACGCTGGGGATCGAACTCACGATCAGGAGAACGTCAGTCCAACGCGTTACCGATTACGCCACAAACACCGCTACTTTACGGAATGTATTTTCAAATATATAAACGTAGTTTTTATACATTTGTCACAAAACAAGAAATAAATGAATATAATTTCTAAAAGACTGATATTATTGATAAGGATCTTAAAGATAAATTCTCTAACAAATAATCGAATTTATCAGTAACCAAAATTGCAACGTAACATGAACTGGTTCTTCGGAGTCAATAAAAGCTTTTTGATATAACGCTTGATTAAAGAATGTTCAAGAAAATTTTCATTTAGATTTAACGTCTGCAAACAGGTTTGGGATTGAGAATTTAATTAAATTGTCGTATGCAAACAACAGTCAGCATAATAATTATAATAGTGTTATTGTTTGGATGTACTATGCCGAAATAGTAGTCAGGGTTTGACACATAGTGCACTCGCCTCCGGCTCGTGCACCATGTGTCAAACCCTGACTACTATTTCGGCATAGTACATCCAAATAATAACACTATTATATAACTATGTTTCAGAAAATGAAAAGGATTTTGTAAATATTAAAATCAAAGACCATAATAAATATGACCAATCCAGATTCGTTACTGTCGGATTAATAACAACAGTAATGATTTGTTATAATTATAGATACACGCCGTACCTTTTGAAGGTTTTGTATAACCTATGAAGACTATGTACTTACAATAAGATGAACTTCATGATCAAAGTGTAAACCAAGTGAATATTGTCTGTAATTAAGTCGGCTTATACAGTGGGGTCATCAATTCTCATAGAACCGAATGTTATCAACATCGGCCTGGGAGCAAATTACAACAATACATTAATATGTAATATTTACAAATTCACAGTATTTTTCTGGAAAACCAATATTTTGTGCATAAACGCTCGGCAATATGTATCAGACCACTGCCCAGATATATTACACATGAGGATCTATCGTCATTATTTGACAGCAAACAGTTGTCCCCGGACAGGCCTCTTTGCATTACTCTTCAATATACTGAACCAATATGGTTTTTGAGGTTGTGGACGAAGAAACACTTGAGATAAGAATGACGCTATTCTTTCGAAAAGCAGTTGTCTTATCCTCTAGATCCATCATTTGGCTAATTACAGATTTCATTTGAAATTGATTTTCCTTAGCTTTGATCGATTTTGACTTCTTTAGAGAAGTTTAATTAACGATGCTTTAAATTCTCCAGTAACAGTTCTTGAAGTCATAACTGTTCAACTAGAATGTTTTTGACAAATGACAGGCTATTCAAGGATCTTGTTAGCAAGAAGTTTTAGTTCTTAATTAATGGCTGTCTAACGGTCGAAGAGCTATATAATTAGTATTGAAACAATGACGAATGTTGGGAAGGAAAATTGAACCTATTAATAATTTGCTTCAAGGTCTCGTGTCCTTGACCTGGCAAATCGCTCCATGTCGTCTGTAGCTATAGTTCTCAAAGTGAGTACATTTTCTCTAGCCGTGATTACAGATAGACGTGTCATTCCGAACTGACGGAAAGCTATACTACAAGTTCTTCCATGTCTCATCAATTTTTTTGAGATGATTGATTTAGCTTCTGTAATGAAGTACATCTGTCGATGCGCGTCATTTGCACCAACACTGAGGTTTTCGTTTGCTACACCGCGCGAATGCTCGAGTAAAAACATGGGTGGAACACACTCGCTTACATAACGTACGCGAGAGGTAGCAAAGAACTATGTCATTAATAAAGCAATTCTGCTATTTGTATCGGCACACATCAGTTGGTTATAGTTTGTCATAATTACATTTTTGCTGGTATCACTTCCAACGAGCTTACTATGATTAAGGTGCCGATATTTGCCAAAACGCTTACCAGGGCAGTTTGCTTCTTGTATTAATTGAAGATCTTTCATCATTAACAGTGCAATACACAAATTTAGAGATTGAAAAAATCCAAAAACAGATAGATTATTTGATAAGTATATACTGATGTAGTACATCTATAAAGCCCCGGATTTCATTTACATTTTGTCCTCCGGGGAATTCTACCATTCTGGCTGTGTTAAATAAACGCCAATATCATTTTAACTGATTCCACCAAAATGCAATGTTGGTTAAAACAATTTAATGATGCTTTATCGTACCCATCTGCTGATTCCGAGAATGTTCTCCGTGAAAAACGAAAGCGACTCTCCCACCACAAGCAGCAATGGGACATGAATGAAGTTTAATATTTTACATGGAGCGGTCAATTTATTGAGAACTTCGGTGCTTGTCATGAACCACTGATTTTGAGGTGATTACATTTCTTTGCCTACGGAAACAAATGAAGCCTCTCCTTGGCCTGATAATCTCGTGATCCATGGACATGGGATTTCTCCTTATCAAGAATTAACTGTATACAGCGCTCCTACCAACCACAAAATATACCCAAACAAATCTGATACCATGCAATATTACTCAATAATTTAGAAATTGGCCCCTTCTACGTGGGCATACTGCTTCTGTCAGAAAAACCCGAAATAGGTAGATCTGTAAACAGATGTACTTTGACAGGAAACTTTGTAAAGAGTGCAGAATGTAGGTGTGGCGGTCAATAATTCTGAAATGTTGATATGCATAAATACAAGAGGAAACCAATTTAAATTGACAACATGTTTGTCATACTAGTGGTTGTTTAAGTGAAATATTACGGCATTATCTGGTCGAAAAAGATGGTGATCTTTCATACGATAAAAATCCAAATGTATATCAGCTCGTTTGAATTTGTCAGAATTGAGTTCCTTTGTGCCTGCAAGCGAATCTTTCAACTAAGGCAATTGGCTGATCCTATAAAAAGTAAACTTGAAAGACGTATTTGCTGCCAATAATAAAAAACAAATGTATTTAGAGAAAGTGTTGTAATTTGTCATTAAGGAATTCTCGTTGTTTCTTTTACCGTAAAACAATCCATCTAAACTATGTGTTAGAGCGTAGAATATTGTATGAAAAGTATTTGAACATATTTTTAAACAAATGTGAATGAATTGATTAATTTTGCTTGTTCGATCGAGTATTATGTCGGAAAAATACCAAGCCTGAAACTGGTAAGATAAAAATACACGTACCAAGTGGTTTCAAGAAAAGAACCTTGAAAGATCTTAATTGGAACAAGACCTGGATGGTACTCTGGCATCTCCATAACCCGTTATCAGCAGGCATACCTAAGATGACTGTACACCGTGACGGAAACAAATTCGACAATTACGAGCTACTGATTGCATTGTCACTCCAAGGCTAATGGAACTGAACAGACCCGAAACAACCGAACACGCATGACGTATTGATATAACCCAATACACATGGAATTAACAAAACAAGGCATCCCAAAAAACGACAGTGTTACATAGTACCACAAAAACCATACTATGAGCGCTTTAAAGTGCCTTGACGTTGCAAAAAACAAAAGTAATAAAATTGAAATGAATGAAAATAAATCAGTGCCAGCTAAGATAAAATTTCCACAACAATTGTCCAAATAGTATATATATTTGCTCTGACTTAGTCGAAAGAAAGAAACTGTGCTGTACGATCAAAGATATTGGGGATGGTTGTAGAAAAATTCATAAAAGACTGGGCAACAACAACATGGCGTTTATATTACACTGCGGGGGAGAGAGCTCACCAATGTCAATGAGGAATGCCAAAGCAAACCTCATCTGCATATAAATATATAAGGCGGTCAACTGCAATTGTCTGCATCATCTATCCCTTTCCTTGCCAGGTCGATGATCTCATACTCACAAAGCATTTCATGTGCATCAAAGCAGTTTTCTTGCTTAAGTGTGATGGTTTAATCAGTTACATCTTTATTATGCAAATGGCTATCAGATAGCGAAAATATCTCTTTGAATACATTTTGCTCAGGAAGAGGATAAAAAGAGTAATTATGTGTACAAGCTTAAAATAATCATGGCCACATGCAGCTTATGGCGTTGTGGAATACCTTGAAACTAAGGCAAAAATAAAGTTAATCCGATATATTGTAATGAAAGACAATATATGGTGTTATTTTGACCATTGTCATACCAGAGGAAATGGTAATCCTTTTTAGAGAACAAGACACCACACATGTCAATAATTGTTATTCAACATCCCCTTTAGATGAAAGAGCAAACACATAAGCAATAACATATGGTTTGATTTACATATCGCAGTTCTAACGTTATTTTCTGTCTCTTGTGCTAAAATATTGCATGTAAAACGCAGAAAAAAAACAAAGAACGGAGGGACGGACGATTAATAAATTTCAAAGAAGCATGCAAGTGGGATCTCTTACGGAAATTCCATATCTTTAATCTTTCCAGAAGAAACGAACTTAGGAAGCATAAATTAATACCTACTTGTGTCGATCAGTGGCATAAGAGTTTCCTACGGCAAAAACGTGAACACTTTTTTTCCCTACAAAGTATAAGAAGTTACGAGTCCATCTTCATGGCCGCGCGGCAGAATCTGGCAACCAGTGACAATGTTTTGATTTGGCGAGATGTCGGGAACTGTACTATACTACTAGTCAGGTAATTGCTATACGTTCTAAGAATAGCAATATTAGCGATTCACTGCCGCGTGACAGAGCTTTCAAAACAAACAGAGTTTCGGGTAGATTTTTCCTCTCGCCATGTTCCAAAGGACCAGATCACATAAATATTGTTCATAATCCTTTGTATAACGTACAAGGAAATTAAACAGAGCTACAATGCATGATTCCATTGGGATGTGGCAGGGGATTAGTTATTATAGAGATACCATGTGTTCTAGAGCCAGAAGCAAAACGTCAGAGAACATGGTTAAGTAAAAAAAAATGAAAGGGGGTTATGGATGAAATAATGGACATTTACAAATTCTTTACATAGAACTACATATATAAGAATGAATTAACAATAACATTATACAAAATATTTTAAGTGTAATTTAGTTTGTATGTCAATACGAATTCTGAAAAAAATATTTTCCCCCATGAAAAATGGTAAAGTTTCTGAAGTGCACGTAGGAAATTGTATTGTACCATCACATTTAAAGAGCCCTAATGTATAACATAACCTGTTTCTACTTAATGACACAAGTTTTAACCCACACTAAAATTGTAACAAGAGACTACAATATATTAACCAAGTGTCGAAACAAGTTTCCTTCATTTGCCACCAAGCTGAACTGAAGTGCAATCCAGTAGTACAAAACCAATTAACTAATTATTAGATTTCTGTTCATTACCTTCCATCAATAATCGACCATATTGGTCTGTACGTATGTAAATAGTCAGGAATCTGCGCACATTGTTACATTGAAATTAAAGGTTTTTTTGCGTTCCTTTGGTTGCATTATATAGCTGTTAAAATCATTTCGAATTGACTATATGTTGGGATTACAAAACATTTCGCAGATCGAAGTCATTATAATAAATGAATAGACCACGTATTTATATATTCTAGGGAAATATTACTTACTAATTTATTTACAGAGTGAAAGTCTATATAATATAAACAGGATGAAGAAGCAAATAATTATCGTATTAATAGATGCGTTCGATTCGCGGAATGACTTCAGAATGCGCAAAGATAATTGAAAAATATCCAGTTATGTTTTGCTTTAATCGAAATCTCATCAGTTCTTCTTGATGTTTTTCATTTTTTTTTCTTCTTCAAAACCCTGCATTTTAAGACTGACATCCAAAGAATAAAAGCTAACCTTGATGTTAAGAAAGTTTACTACAACAAAGCCTTCTATAGGTAGAGAAAGTTTGATAAACGTATGCAACTTCTTCGTAAGAAATCAAGTGTGTCCAATTGATGCAACTTATTAAGTTAACCCCAATTTACAAATGTGTAGAGTAGGGATTCTAGGTAGATTTTTTTTTTTTTGCTTTCATGTTTTTTACGTATATATTACAAATAATTTTTTTTATATATATTATAAGCAAAATTTGAATTCTGAATAGATAAGTATTCAACTGTACAAAAATCTTAAAAGGTAAGGTGAATTTTCCAACACACAATGCTTTATACAATTCAAAAGTAAATTTTGAATTTCTTAGGACCATCATCATTAACAGAATTACTAATTAATTCAACTACTGTACAAAGTACATGTAATTATTACTTAAGGGGGGGGGGGTGGATGGTCATGGCCATTTTTACACTATTTAAATCTCCTGGAAAAGAAGAGTTCTGTGTGAAAATGCAGGAAATTGCATCAAATATGATAGCTTGAACATGTGGGTTTTTTCCTTCATAAAAAATCGTTTATGGCTAAAAAATCATATTTTATATTTTTAGGTAGATCTGTTGGTAATTTGTCGACCACCCAGACTCCTTAAAGCAGTCAACTTAAGAGTAGCCAGTAAAAACAGCAGACATCAACCATTACTCTAATGGCGGTCAATCGTAGAGAGCAATGAAGCATAAGTGTCACAAAAGCTAAGTCAGTCAAACATAGAGAGAAGTGAAACATCTCAGAAGTTAGGCAATAGAGTCATGAAATGCTTTATAATAAAAGTAGACTTGTAGTATTGCGATGCATAAAGGGTGTGCTGCTGAAACATGACCAAGGACTTTAAGCCGGGCCGATTCTTGGTAGGTCTGAAAACAATCAACAGTACATACATGTATAATACCGTCAGACTATTATGATTAAAAGTATAACTTAGAGAGTAACATCATCATGTTTACATATTTGTTCTGTTCTCTGTCTCAGAGAATTTTTTATCAGTCAGTTTCAAAATTACCCAAAATTTGAGGATGGAGAAATGCTTTACTTTTATCGAAAATCGTCTTCACAATAAGAAAAAGTTCAAGAAGATGGGTGCTTACTTGATAATGAGGAAAATACAGAAGCGTGAACATTTACTGTGTAATTGTAAATTAAAAATAAATCCAAAACATCAATTTCTGCTTCATTCAGATATGTAAAAGTACACGGTGCCTGACGTTGCAGTTGGTCCGGCATTTAGCAGCAACATATCACGTGATCTAGACCCAAGACATCCACTTATTGACAAATAATACAAATGAGACGGCCTGTGATTCTCTCTGGAGTTACCATACAACGGACAAGGAAAACTATAAATGTCCAAAAGATTTATAGCCGAGTTACACAATATTTCACACCCCATTTACAGACTTTGAACAATGAATGCAGAAGAGTGCGGTTCAGTTTACACATTTTGATATATGTGATGAAACGGATGCTTTTTAGAACTGTGAATCGATTCAAATATTTGGTTGTAATCTTTCATCGGCTTATATAACTTTGATATTAATTTAAATAAATGTGATGATTAATATTTCATTTGTCATAACTGATACTGTCATGTCGAGTGCATACACTGTATATCTTCACTAATACGACAGCAAGATTTTAAAGACAAAAAAAAATAAATTAAATTAAAAAAAACAATGTACTACCGATAGAATTACTAGTTCCGGTACTATTAGAACGTTTTATTTATACATTGTCTTTTAGGTAGTATTTTTTTTTATTTTCCATGATTCTCTGGCTCTTAAAGTAGAAATATACCAATATATTGTCTTCCCACAATTTTTTATTAAAATAGAAAAATTGGTCAAATTTTCTATTTTAATAAAAATTTGTGGGAAGACAATATCTAAATCCTTACCCATAGGGTTCTCAAAACAGCAGGAATATTATTGTAAGCGTTAGGTAACTATATAAAAAGAACCAGATTTATACTGCCAAAAAAGTTAAGGAATAATAACAGCGATTTTCCCAGTTGATTGTGCATTGGTGAGAGAGACTGACACAAATTTGAAATAGGGAGTCCATATCATCTTGTCATACACACGATAAGTGTCGTGGCAAATAGCATGAAAACACGAACATTATTCTCGTTTTTCTTCCATCATCAATCATACAACGATCACGGATACGGACATCATTCAAGCTTACTGTAAAATTTTGTCTACTAATTACCAAGCAAGTAAGCAGATGCCGCTTTGGGATGATAAATGAAATATTCTTTTTTATATCATCGGTGCCAGAGGTTTCTGTAATGTATGTTTGTCGCGAGAGTGTCTCTAGCATGTAATTTTGGAAACAATTCTGAAATAGCTCCATTCTATTTTAAAGTACGAATCACGTGACAATATATTTATTAAATTCTTCAACCCCCCCCCCCAAAAAAAAAAATTAAAAAACAATTAAACAAACAAACTATTCGAGGGCAAATCAGAGTTATTTGATATAGAATATGTCCAATATGAATCACACGACAATATGATTATTAAATAACAGAAAACTCATCCCACCCCACCCCACCCCCAAAAAACAAACAAACAAACGATTGAAGAGCAAATCAGACTTCTTTAATCTTAATATTATAATTAATGGGAAATATGCAAGATTACAGTTTCTATAAATGAATATCTTAATGAGTTGTAAAATTAATCATACACTTACGTTATGTGCAATGCCTGTAATCATCCTATTGACTGGTCCCGTCACAAAAATTATCTATCATACATCTTTTCATCTGTTCACATAAACAAATACTTTAATCGTCTCGCAAAAGTGAGAAAATATAGATATGCATGTCGCCAACTATAGAAAGAGTTCAAGCCCAGATAATTGCATTATCCTTGAGAGCTTTCATTCCACTCAATTCAGCGGGGGATGATGTGAAATGGTTACCGCCAAATAGTGGTTTGTGGAGCATGAATGTCATGAATATTTTATTGATACAATTGCATATTTAAACGGATTAAGAAGCCAATATACATGCTTACAACGATGATGTCAGAGTGAATTTTGTGGCCAAATGGCCTAGCAAAATAAATGAGAGAAGCCAAATCTTTCCGATTATCGATCAAATGAGATTTATTCTTTCTCAATGAAAGTTTGAAAATACGAATTACTGTAAATGTGAACGCCACCTCTTGTCCAAAACAACATGCATAGTAAAAATGTCAATGCAAAAAGGGAGAAATCTGATGGCCTTGAATTTATCAAAGGGTCATGGGAAAATACTTTTTACCACGGCTCTTTGATAAGTTCAAGGACAGATCTAAACTATGACACTTAAATTAGAACATGATTCCTTTGCTGTAAGATGCAGTATGCTTTTCAACATTTGCTGGAATCCCAAAATTGTAGAGCAGAACTTCCCACATAACGGATGAATTGCTATATTGCAAATGTTCCCCATGGGGGAAGTTCGATCTGCTATATAGCAAAAATTCCGCATAGGACAGGGACATAGCCACGATCGGTTTACCCAACGATTTGGTAAGAATTAAAAAAATAATTCCATTTTCATTATTCACGATGCACTTCGTCAGTCCAAAATCTGAATTAATTTTTGTTGTCAGTTATGTACAAATTACGGTTCTTCTGTTTTGTCAGGTCACATAAACAAGGTCCAGTGCCTTTTAACGTTTGTTCGGCACAGATAAATGGCTGTAAGCATTAAATGATAGAAAATAGCTCAGAAAAAAATTAGATCGTTTAACAGAGTTTAAT